CTCCCTGTTTGGAGCTGGGATCTTTCTGTGTGGAGTTTGCATGTTCTTGTCGTGTTTGCGTGGATTTTCTCCGGATACTCTTGATTTCCTCCCATGGTCCAAAAAATGTGTTAGGCTGCCTTCAGGCTCAGGCCTTTCTTGCAAAAAATATGTGACGTCCATGAGATTTGCCTAGTTAAATCAGGGTTAATAAATTAACTTTGTGAAACATCAACTAGGTGACTTTGACTATGACAACCTCAGAATTTTGGACAATGTGACGTGTTTCTCACTTATACTCGTATTCTTTAATTTGGAGTATTTAACAAAGGACAGGGCTGTACGTCTGTTGGCTCATCTTTACTGAATAGTTACAGATCGTGTCAGTTTACTGAGGGCAGAGGCCTTGCAGCGTTGAGCAGGGAAATCACTGAGCCACATGCTAATCTCAGTTGATGGTTTATGTAACTCCTAGTACCACATGATCACACGTCACCACCCGCGCAGCAACTGTCTGTATTCAGTGATGTGCTCACTAGCCGCACATGCAAACACAAATGGTTGACAGAGGAATGATGAAGGGCGCACATACATGATCACTGGAAGGCTCAACATGCAGCTTCACTCTGCAGTGCATCTGTCTCCGTGGGCCTGATCTGATCTCTGAATGTAAGACGGAACAGGAGCTATTAGAAAATCCCAAACAAAGAAGATCGTTAACACGGTGGCGTGTTATTCCGGAGTCTGTATGTTCCAGCTGAGCGACATGTCAATGAGAGTGCAGGGGATACATCTGCGAAGCCATGACGAGATGGCCGTGAAGCTTTTGTTCTGGGAGCTGGAGCAGCATCTCAAAAGGTAAAATAGAGTCCACAGGGAGTCGTCACTGTACAAACAAAAGGCTGAATGGTCAAACTGTCCTCTGTTCAGTCACTGCAGGCTTCTCTAGTGGTAATAACTCAAGACTATGGTTCTCTTCGCTTTTAATTTACTTTAAATTTAACTAAAATAAATATATATTTTTAGATTATAAATTAATTGTAAGGATTGTATATGTTCCACTTACTTCAAGCTCCACAGGATGAATAGAGATTATTTCCACTACATGTTGATGTATATATTTTTATCCATGTGTTATTGATGTATGTATTTATTTGCAGTTGTTTTGTAGATGGAGCTACTCGTCTTTTTGAACAAGATTGATCTTTCCTGTCCTGTTCAGATGTTGTTATAAAGCACCAATTCACAACAAAACTCATTTCAGAGCATAATTATACACAGGGGGAGGGGGGGAGGCCAAATTAAAAATCCAATTCAGTTCAAGACATACTAAGATTTAAATCCAATCAATTCATTCCTTTTATAATACATGCAGATGAAGTGCAGTATAAAAGGAAAGGAAGGGACTCGCTTATGAAATATGTAAACGCTACGTTGTAGTTGAATACTCCGATGTTTTCATGAAATGGTTGTCGTTGTGAGATCCTGTCAGATAAACCATGACATCGGTGCACTCTGGTATTACTATGGTTTTGGTCATTTCTCTGGTGCTGCTTCACTGGGCCAGTGATGAGAAAAATCTCATCTCAACTTCACCTGTGAAACATGGGGATAATACAGTATAATTAAAATGATTTTTCAAGACTAAATCAAATGAAATGGGCCCTAATATGCTTTATATACATTCATAGTTGAATTTGGTTGAAACTCCTACAACATTTGGAGCCAACTTTTGTTAAACCCGCTGCTTGACAGTGTTCAGACTTTTGTATAGTCTTGTATAAAACAGAAGAAACCCCAAGTGTATAAAACTGGTGTTTCAGACAGTTTAGGAGCAGCAGTCTTTTCCTTCAGTGCACCTCATTCTGATGCTATGATGCACTTAAACAGTGAAGGACCAAGATGTTCTATTAAGTGTCTCTGATGACAGCATCCTGTTATTTTGCTAACAAGCTGGCCGTGTAACGTAAAGACGTACAGATCGGAAACATCACGAGGGTGTGATTCTTGGAGCTTCAGCTGAATGGGCTATTTGGGTGTGGATTAGAAGCTCACACGTCTTCCAGGCAAAGACGAAACCGAAAAAGCTAAAAGAGGCTTAGAGGATCTTTTTTAGGCATTTGACTTCTTGGTACAGAGTGCTTAAGTGTTTGACCAGAATCAAACATGATTGGTGACCATGTTTGAACGTCTATTTAGAGTATTTTTGCTAAAAGAAGAATTGTGCTGTTGTTAAATACATTTACCGTGCAGCAAAATTTGTATTGATGACAACTTGTAGGCCTTAATTGGTACAGCTTTTAACAAAAATAAATTACATTAATATTGCTGGTTGAAGTATACAAACATCACAAATAAGCTGTTTAACAAAGAGCCTTATCAACTATTTTATTGTTTTGGTTCTTTGGTTTCTATAAACTTTCTCCAAACCCCACACTTGGTGTTTCACAACCCATACTGTAATCCCGGCCCCAGCTGTGGAAACCACTGTTTTAGGTAGTGGCCCCGATTTCCTTAATTTTGGGAAATCGGAAATCAGCCGATACTTACATGAGAAAGTGATTTTACAGATTTTTTTTGTTTGTTTGTTTGTTTGAACAATTGTCTGAACTTGATTTATATTTCAGAGCACTACCTCATGGCCAGTTAAAACAAGTTTGTATTGTTTCTAGGATATTGTTCAAGGGTATATGTTTTTCTATAAAATAAGATTGGAAAATTGAAGGTGCATTGTGACTTTAACACCTGACAGTGTCGCTTATAAAACAAAATCAGTATCGGCCAAAATTGGAATCGGCAGGTCAGACTTTTTAGAAATCAGTGATCGGCCAGAAAACTGCGCCCGGTGCACCCCTAGTTTCAGGAAGTCTTGGTAATTGTTTTAGCTCCTTGTTTGACTTTTTGTTCAACCTTTTGCTCTTGTTTGCATATGAAGACTTTTCTACTGCCGTGTTTGAGTCCTCGCGCTCGTTTGCTGTTCGTTTTGCAATGGAGCGGTGTTTTTATTGTTTTTATTTGAAAATACAATTCAGTTGTAGATCAGCTCTATTATTTATTAGAATTAAACACACTTGTTATTTTGGACATTTGCCAAATTACCAGATGTATTTTTGTCCTTACGCTACCAAGCATCAACTTTGTGACCCTGCTTGAATGCTTTATTTAATATTTGGGTCATATTGTTTACCTCTATCTCATTCTTGTTGCATTTGTCAGATGATCTTTGGTACTAAATGAACATGAAACTGCTTACATATTGTTTATTTTATTACTAGAATTATAACAAATACGGTATTTTTGGCAAATGCGTTCTATTTCGTTGACCTACTTACTATTTATTTTGCCAAATAAAGTAAATATCTTTTTGGATTTTTGACCAGCATACCTGCGTTGCCCACACTCGTTGTTATGGCTTCTGTTCTCTTTAGTCAATAACTGTTTTGTCGCAGTATCAATAATCCATAGATGAGTCAGTACCTTCCCCTGTTTGCTCTTCATAACTGCCACCTCTGATGTTCGAGCTGACAGCATTACTCTGTAATTTAGGCACTTTTCGAACCGGACCTGCATTATCTTCACCATGTAGTGCATGAAAATGATAGTGTTTAAATGTTGAGAGACTACAAGTATTTCAAGTGTTTTCTATGTGCAGGAATATGAGAGCGAGCAACCCTTCAGAGAGAGAAGAGAGGGTTTTGCGTTTGGGTGGGCGAGATCGTTATTTAGTGGACGTCAGAATGAGAATCTGAGCAGAGTTGTGATATTTAGGTCACTAAAATACTAATATATTAAATGCACTTTTTAAATGTTATGGTCTTTTTGACCGCAACGCCTTAAATGATAAACATCTGGAGGGAATGGATCATAGATCTGTTTGAGCCGGGTTACAACTTTAGTACTGTTTGACCACACGAGGGGGATAAATGCACACACAAAACAGCTCCTAAATTACTCTCTGTGTTGGCCACAATGCTTCTTTTAGTTGTATTTCAAAAGGTGTGCAGCAGATTCCTCTTATAGCATAAACTGTTTCAGATGCTTCCTTCTGGCAGGAGGTTTGAGGTCCATCAAGACCAGAACTTAAGACACAAGACTGTTCCTCCCCATCAGTAGAACCGCTCACTCCTTTAGGACTTTGTGTCGTAGTCTGTATGTGACCTGAGTCAAAATGATTGTCATAATAAACTTAAATAAAGCTAGTTTTTATAGTTTATGTTGGAGCTGACCTCAAGTCAGTTTGTCACTTTGTTTCTCAGGAGCCACTGAAAAGATGGAAAGCAACATTGCCTCTAAAATAAAGTTCGTAAAATTCCTGTTATTAGTTGCCATGTCAACGTTGAGTAATCGCCGGGTTGCAGCAATCTCTCCCGAGCACTGAGGGTTGCTCCTGTGCCCCCTCCCTTCCTGCTTCCTTCCACCTTTCCTCCTCCCCCTGGAGCACGTGTCAGCTGATCGGCAGGTGGAGGCGTTCCCCCAGTAAACCAGCCAATCAGGAGCCAGCTCCTCGGGATAAATTATGCGGGGACGGCGGGGAGCTGCAGCCCTTTGTGTCCGGCTGAGATGGGCTGACCTTGGGGTAGATTCACGCAGCTGCCGCTGTTATCAGATGCGTCTCGCGGAGCTGGTCGCGTGCAGGTGGACTCGAGGCTGCGCGGTGATATTAAATGTTCTGTGAAATATGAACAGCATGAACACGTCGTCGTGCTACTCCGTGGCCATGGATTTAGGCGTCTGCCAGCTGAGACATTTCTCCATCTCGTTTCTGTCGTCGCTGCTGAGCGCGGAGAGCTCACAAGTCAGGCTCGACAATAGGTAAAAAATAAAAATACATATTTAAAAAAAAAAAAAAAAAGCTGCTTTCAGTCTGCAGCTCACCTGCGTCGATGAGGAGCAGATCACTGTATTTTGTAGAAACTTCCAGATGCTTGCTGACCCACATTTCTCTGAAGGAGAGGCTTGTTCCATCTTTTCTCACTGCAGCACAGACCGAATGTACTTACTCCGTTTTCTTTCTTTTGCAGCTCGTCGGGAGCCAGCGTGGTGGCCATAGACAACAAGATTGAACAGGCAATGGTGAGTTCAAAGCCTTTATTCTCTATACCAAAAAAAAAAAAAAACGAGTTTTACTCCCTGCATCCTTTGCGCAATTAAGTGGAACTGTGTATCAAATTAAATGCTTGGCAATGAAACAACGAATTATTAAAGTGGGCTATATAGCCTATTCGTTAGTACGTTTATTAGAAGTTTAATAAATAACAGGTGTTTATAAAAAAAGTCAGAATTAAACATATTCACCTTTTTGTAATCACAAACTGGTTTTCGTTTTCTGTTTCTCCATCTCGGTCGTCAGGGCAGTTGCTAGGCAAACTGAACGCCTCTTAAATATATTTCGGCATCTGATTGGCTGATGCGTGAAAAGTGGGCTGGGCTTAATTATTGCCACCCTGGGAATATTTTCCCTCAGGTTTTCTTTTCTTTTTTTTTTAATCATCAGATTATTGGCATCAGATTAAACTGGAGTGCAGACCACATTTGGTTACAAAATATATATATATATATATTTTTTTTTTTTGAGTTACAAATATTTCATTGTTTGGTGTGTTTCTATCACGTTAAACCTAAAATTAAGACTAGTTGAAGTTTGATGGACAAACAAAACTTTTATAATCTATAGTTCTGTCACATCTGAGCAGTATATTTTGCATGGTGATTCAAATCCTCGCTGGGTAAGCTAAGTGTTTGCATTCAGGTTATCTTGATACTGACATGACTATGGCATATTTTACAGAAAAATATTTGTATATTTTTGTGCCAAATAAAGAGTTCACAATAACTTGTGTCTATTAAAAAAAAAAAAGGCCATAATGGTTTATATATTCTTTGACAAAATATAACAATTGATTACTGGTAAATTAAACAAATATACATTTAACAACTTTTAGAAGAACTTTCACACTTAAGAATAATGTAAAAAAAAAAAAAAAAAAAAAACCCATTCTCACTTATATTAAAAAAAAATTAATGGCTATAAGCAGCTGCTGCTATACCATTTTTCTCCTGTGTAAATGATTACTTATGCACAGGCAGTTTTTATGAACAGTGGCAAATATTGTTTGATTTATTGGTTTCTGTACTTAGCATAGATGCTAACCTAAGCTGCACGTTAACACAACTATCATAATGTTTATTTCTAAAAATATATAAAGTGTTTCAAATGACACCACATGCAGCAACTACTCAGTGGCAGCATGGATAAATTGAAAAATGGATTCAGAATTGTCCATGTTCACAATGTGATGCATCCAAATGTAAATTTTACTCCCTGTCCACCTTAAAGTTTCTATTTGTATAATTTTTGATTATCATAAAATCTAAGACCTTTACAGATGGCGTCCAGTTTTTCATCACACTCTTAAACCCACATCTCTTCGGTCTGATTGTAGGACCTGGTGAAGAGTCACCTGATGTACGCAGTTCGTGAGGAGGTGGAGGTCCTGAAGGAGCAGATCAAGGAGCTGATAGAGCGAAACTCCCAGCTGGAGCAGGAGAACACTCTGCTGAAGACGCTGGCCAGCCCAGAGCAGATGGCTCAGTTCCAGGCCCAGGTTCAGACGGGCTCTCCACCTGCCCCTCTGACAGCGGCTCCAACGGGACCTCCGAACCCCGCCGCCCTCGCCCAGCCCGCCTCACACAGCTCTGGCCCCTCAGCGTAGCCTGGTCTACACAAACAGACTGAACTTCTAGTTTTTCAGCTCCGCTGCGGCTGCAGAGCCGAACTTCGCCTTCTACAGCAGGAGGTTACGCTGTCACAAGATTTTGCACATATTTATCTTTGAAGGATGCAGACAGCTGTGCTCCGCGACACAGCGAAGAGTGACAATCTAAACATGATGTTTGGGAGGGGGCGGGGCTTTGTTTTCAGAAGAATCAAACATTTGCCAAATAACATCAGTCATCAACAAAAATGTCTCACCAAGAAAAACAGCTCAACAGTGACAAAAGTCTACTTAGCTAAAGAATTAAAATAAAATCACTGTGCCTGTGTTGGATTTTAGGTGATAAGCTGATCATGAAGCAGCAGCAGGGGGGTGGGGGGGTTGGCTGTTACCTATTGTGCCGAATGGTTTAAGTAAAAATGGTTCTCTGCCGATGCTTAGGGAGGAAAGAGCCTTCTTCGAATGTGAGCTCCTATTATCACGTCAGTCCCCATCTGGAATGGGGGAGTTGGCGGAGGTTATTTTGAACATTTTGGCAGCCGTGATGTTACTTAAACTGCGGGTTGAACAAAAACCTGGTTTCTTACGGAGATGATGAGAATCTATTTTCAGTATTTCACTTTCGAAGCTCATCGCTCGGCCCTTGACGAAGCTCATTGTTCTCTCCACCCTGCTGTGGCATGTTGTTTAAAGCTCCTCTGACAGGGTTGGAGCATTGGGCTAAAGCTGCATTTTTTGTTTGTTTGTTCCTCCTTCAAGGGCAAAAGATGATGTACATTTCTGTATAGTGTAAGTACGATGTAAAATAGGAGGAGGCGAGAAAAACAGATGCTATCTAGGTCACGGATTGATGCGGACGAGCAGAACGCGCTGCTGTTTGCTCGGTTTCTGTCGTCCATCTTTAATGCTGTATTTTCAGGACTGGATGGAAAGGTTAGGTTATTTAACTGACAACACACACAACAGCTGTTGTCCTGCTCCGTTACCGCAACATTAACTCTGTAAACTCTTTTCACATCGCTCGTTTTCTTTATGAAGTTTGGCACTTTTTTCTTTTCCTTTTTGTTTTTGACAGTGAATAACTCTGATCAGAAAAAATGGGAGCTTAGGAAGTTAAAAAAAACCAAGCCACAAGCTCTGATGCTGTTTTTTCTTTTTTAATTCTGTGTATCAGTTATATGCTCATGTTCTGTGCATGTTTCCTCTACGCCCGGATGTGATGACATAAATACCTTCAAATGCACTTGACAGCTGCACTTCACAACTTTCAATAAACGTGCTTAAAAAAAAAAAAGGAAAAAACATCCGGTGCCTTCTCTTTCCTGTAGTCTGGTGCAGTTATGCAAATGTTATTAATGTTAATTATTGTAATTTAAAAAAAATGTCAGTGTAGATTTCAAACGTCTTGTTCAGGGTGAGCGCAGCGGATTAAGACCCAGAGTTGGTTGTTTAGACCGAAGGTTCTCAACCAAAAAGGTGTGTTGGACCAGGGGAACAATTTAAACATGCAGGATGGTGTTCCTCAGGGACCAGAGTTGGGAACCACTGGTTTAGACACACAAAAGTTAACGTTCAAGTATCAGAGTAACTCAAAGCTGCTGGTGGTAAAGTGAGACTTCACACATGAATACAAAAAAAAACTTTTTTAATTCATGTAAAGGCAAAGAGTAGACTTTTTGGAATGAGCTGTAGAAAAAGACACATTTTGGTGAACCTAGTAACTGAAGCACGGCAGTGGAAGTATTAGTGTGTTCACAACCTGATGAAACTTTTTAGTTGGAAAGCAATAGCACTAAATCGGGGGTTTCAAAATAAAAGTCCAAACATTGCAAATGGGGCACATTATTCCAAGTTGTGCTATAATACTCAAACCTGCTTCTAATATTTGATGATATAACTACATGTGTTGGGGGCGGGGGGTGTTTAAAAATGAGTGCTCTCCATTTGTTTAACATTTATTTGAAAAATGATTCTCACACAACACAAAGACAAATCTGGCACATTATCAGCAGCTCGCGCGCACGGAGGGGTTTAGCAGATGAGGCGTGTTCTCCAGCCGGCGTGGTTTTAGACTGTTCATAGAAAAGCTGTCGGAACCACAGACTGCAACGCTGTAAACGCTGGTTGAGGGCAGGGGTGTGCCGGTCAGGGCCTCTGGAGCGGGGCCCAGGGTTGAGGGTGTGCAGGCTCAGTGAGGGCTTGAGGGGGACGAGGGTCCAGAGGCTCCCCCTGAGTCACATCCCCATACGGATGCTCTGGATGATCTGAAATATGGCTGAAAGTCCACAAACACCGACCGGTCAGAATGGTTCTGACCAGTTCAGGCTCTAGTTTTTACTCGTGTTTAATTTTAAAACTCGGGTCAAAAGATCAGAAAACTGAACAAAAAAATAAACAGGAAAGGGTGTTTGAACCAGCTGGATCTCTAACCTGTGCCGTGTACTGCGGTGCAGGAGGTTGTTTTAAGATAACTTTTTATCTAAGGTTGTTCCTGCAGGAGCTGTGGTAGAACCGGGTTTCCACAGAGATCTCTGATAACACTTAAAATGTACCGTTAGAGACCGGTTCAACTCAAATAGACCCACTCATTGCACTGAGCCTGCTTCTCCATCTTTTAATGAAAAGCGTCATCAAAACGTATAAAAACTTTCATGGCAACGTTCAAGGCAGCGCCTAAATGACAAGATGATCAATGCTTTTTTTGTAAATAAGCAGAGTTAAAGCTGAGGAAGAAACTGAGATGTTAAAGCTAAGAGAAGCCAACTGTTAGCTTAAAGTGAAAGTAGCAAAAGCTTAATGTAGCCTAAGGCTATAGCTAAAAGCAGCAAAACGGTAGGAAAAAAGCTAAAAGTAGCAAAAGGCTATCTGAAATAAAGCACAAGTAATTGAAATTGAATTTAGCAAAAGGTAGCTAAAAGCTAAATGTAAGAAAAAACTAAATGCTAAAAATCCTAAACGATAGTTATAAAATCTTTAGTAACAAAAGGTAAACAAAACCTAGCAACAACAACAAAACAATCTAGCTAAAAGTAACAAGTGACTAGTCAAAATTAGAAGAAATGTAGCTAAATGCTAAAAGCAGCAAAAACCTAGCCAAAAGGATCTATGCACTAACTAAAAGTGAATGTAGCAAAAATAAAATATGGCTAAAAGCTAACATAGAAAAACGGTCAAAAGCTAAAAGTCTCACACAGCTAACTTAAAGGTAAATACAGCAAAATGAAAACAAGAAATGTAGTAGGAGCAAAGGCTAGTGTAGATTTTAAAAAGCTATCTAGAAGCTAAAGTAGCAAAAAACTAGTAAAGGCTAAAAATATGAAAATGCTTGTTAAAAGTTGCAGAAAAGTACCTAAAAGTAGAAAAAAAGCTAAATTTGCTACATTTAGCTTAGCTAAATGTTTTGCTACATTTGCTACATTTAGCTTAGCAAAGCTAAATGCAGTAAAACAGCATAGTTACAAGCTGAAAGTAACAAAAAGCTGGCTAAATGCTAAACGTAATAAGACTAAACTGCAGAAAATGCTAAGCAATAGCTAAAAGCCAAAAGTAGCAAAAGGCCAGCTAAAATTTAAAAGTAGCAGAAAGAGGCAAAAAAGAGCAAATTTATTGAAGCAAATTTGACATGTTCCTGAAAAACTGAAGAGATCTTGATATGTGGGTAAAATATTTGCAGATGAAGTAAAAATTTTAAACAATTATATGAAAGTTACAAAAAAAACAAAAGGTCATAGCAGCCATCTCCTAAATGAGATGAATGTTTAGAAATGAGAGCGGCTGCACGGGTAGTTAGTTTGTAAAATACATACAGTGAAATAAAAACCATGAAAAGAACAGAGCGACCACTGGATCTGGACTCTAACTTTAATGTAACGAGCAGATCAACTTGTGCTTTACTCAATGCAGTAACAGTACTTGTAAGATTAGTAATTTGGAGTACTTGACCCGTTCTCTGATGCAGCTCTCAGTCAAAAACCCCGGCCGACTTTTCTAGTTGATAAGCTGCTCTGAAGCTCAACTCCTCATTGTTAGCGTTAATTTAGCCAGATCTGTTAAAGAAACCCAGGTTAGACGATCCTGCTTCATAGTACAGGGCACAGGTGAGCCTTAGCTCACCTAAAAGCTAAATGTAACAAAAAGCTAAATGCTAAAAATCCTAAAGGATAGCTATAAACTATAGTTTTAGTTAGTCACCCAGCTTGTTTTTTTTTTGTTTTTTTAAAGAATTTCAGGGTTCCTGACACTGTTCCTTGAGGAACACCATCCTGCATATTTTAGTTGTTTCCCTGCTCCAGCACACCTGAGTCAGTGATTTAATTACTTCCTCTCGTTCTGCAGAAGCCTCTTAATCACCCATTTATTAACATCAGGTGTGTCTTAGCAGGAAAACATGCAGGATGGTGTTCCTCAGGGACCAGGGTTGGGAACCCCTGAGTTAAGGTAATAAAAAAAAAAAAAACATTTTATTTTACCTGATCCACAAACAACAAAGACGAAGAGCGCGAGCAGCCAGGGGCCCACCGGGTACTTCTCCTCCTGCGGTCGCTTAGAGAAAAACAAAATAGCATTTTTTTACAAAGAGGATTCCCGTTTCTTCTCCTCAAACCTCCTGTTAGCAACTGCTGGAGTCAACCTTGTTTGTCTGTTAGCAAAATATCTCTTGAACCACAGGGCAGATTTTAACAAAACTTTCTGTAAATATTCACTGGATGTACATATATAACATTTTACGTTTTGAAGTTAAACTAATTTAATATGGCTGCCAACGTTAATCCACTTTAGAAAACACAAAAATGTTTATAACATTGCTGATTTTACAGATCATGAGCTAAAATCTGGTGTGGTAGTAGCTGAGAGTAACATATATTCCAAGCACTATACATTGTGCCAGATCTGCATTGAAAACCTTGGCATTAGCTGCTGGTCAACCTTTTTTGTCTGTTAGCAAAATATCTCATGAACTAATGGGTGTATTTTAATAAAACTTTCTGGAAATAACAACTGGGTTCACATCTACAACTGTTTACCTTTTGAAGTCAATCCACTTGAAGCTGGCCGCCCCAGACGATGAACCTTAGCAAAGTCAAAAATGGCTATAACTCAACCAGTTTGAAAGATTTCGACTTAAATTTTAGTATGGTAGTAGCTGAGAGTCGTTCACAGCACATACTCTGAACATCTTGTGATGATGCTGAAGATGTCTGGACTGGGATAAGCGCTCAATGGATTCTAACAGGACTTTACTGCAAATGTTTAAAATGTCCTAATTTATTTATCTTTATGTATGTTGAGTTCTGTATTACTTTTCTGCGGAAAGAGCGGTAAAGAACATCAGACTGAAAACATTACATTAATTTTGAATTTGAGCATTACCTCGGTTGATTTTTAGAATAAATATATGATTTCAGCGGTCTTTAAATGTCCACATGCGCTGTATATGTGGGAAACACTGTATAAACTAAAAGTAGCAGCTACAGCTGGCAGCATCACCGTCGTGCTGCTGTGTTCACGCCGGCTTGAACGTCACCTGTCTGGGCTAATGTGACGCTGGCATCGGGGGTGTCAGTGAACGTCTCACCAGCGTCTTGGCGACGTTTCCTCTCTGCGTGATGTTCTTGCTGTGTTTCTCGTTGGCCATGCGGATCCTCTGTTTGGCCACCATCTTCCAGGACGAAGACAACAACAACAAAGCTAATTTACTCTGTTTTTTTAGGTGTTTTCTGATGCTGCAGGCTGACAGCGCCGCCGCGTAAAGCTGCCGGACCCGAGGCGCGAGGAAACCGGAAGTTTGTCTGGGTTTTTAAATTAATGTGCCCAAAGAAAGCGACAGAGGTCGATAACACAAATTAAACGAAACAAATATAGGTACACGGCGCGATGTTTTAATTGATTTTAATATAACTTTGAATTTTTATGACCTTTCCAACAGCAGAAACTTAAACAATTAGGCAAATGTTGCTGCTGATCTGTTTCAATGTTGATGTGTTCATGCGTGCACATCTGCTCACAGACTCATGTTCATGTTTGTGCTGATGTTCAATGTTTTATGTTATGAGTGCTTAGTGTATATTTAGTTGATGTTTTTCTTAGTTCATATCTTAGATGTCATTACTGTTTTTCTTATACATTTTATTGTTGGATGTAACTGGGACCCTGCGTACATAATTTCGCTCCACCACATGTACCACATGAGGTGCGAATGACAATAAAGAAACTCTGACTCTGACTCTGAAATATTTTATTGTGAAGGACATTACAGGAAGTGGTATGCTTTTGAATTACAGCGCATTTAATATTTTTATACACCTGGCAGGGATGAGCGCGTGGCTAGTGGCGCGCGCCAACTGTAAATTTAATTTATTATTACTTAATGAACTGATTAATTATAAACAACTTACTGTGTTGTTTTACATAAAAAAAAACATTGGTATTATCTCTAAGATCAACAATTGCAACTCCAGTTGTGTAAACAGAATTCAGTGATTTGCCAATATTTTAGTGTTTTGTTCCCTATGGAATATAGTAAAATATCTGATGCTGAAACGAAGAATTTTTTTCGAAGAAATTAAGGTAAGTTTAAATTTTATGGCAGCATCACATCTCAAAAAAGTTGGACCAAGGCCACCCCGCTTCTTTTAACAACAAACCAGCTGCTGGAGTTTTTGGAGGGAGTATTGCGTCATTGGATTCTAGCTGCTCAGCTGACTTCTTCACAGAATTTTTCGATGAATGTGAACCGTATTTTGTTCTAAAACCTGTATTTATTTGCATTGAAGGTCCCTTTCCAGATGTGTAAGCTGCCCATGTGGCAGTAATACACCCCCATACCATCAGAGAGGCAAGATTATGATCTCTCCTCTTAAACCTGAAAGAGTTTCAGAGAAGTTGGTGGCCTTTTTTTCTGTTGAGAAACATTTTGAAATGATTCCTTTATTTTTAGATGCAGTTTTTCTCAGACCTGTTGCTAATTAATCTAATCAGTTGTAAAATCGTGTCCCCTTCACATATAATGAGGACCCCCCAGACACCACCCCCCACACACACGCACACACACACACATTACAAATGCTTCTGAATATCCTTAAAATGAGAAAATGTCTCTTTAGTGTCTCTATTTTGCATCTCCTCTTGTAAATTATTAAACTTTCCCTCAGTGTGAAATGTTTTCGGTCAGGCAAAAAAAAAATCAGGGAGGAGTTCTGCCCAACATTCAGGTGGTCCTGCTGCCCAGGAGTACCAAGAGGTCTGCTGGGTCCAGGTGGACGGATCAGCATCTGTGGCCAGATTCATCAGATCCACTGCAGTAGATCCTTCCTGCCCACAGCCATCAGCATCTATAACAACTCTTAATGAAACCGGGATGAGCTACGACAACAGTTAATTTCCATTTGGGATTAATAAAGTATTTTGAATAGAACTGAATTCCTCAGCTGTAATCCAATGTTTGAATTTTGTCTGAATCACCGCTTTGTTTGTAACCGTTATCGTCCCTTTTTATCCACATATGAATTTCAAATAGTAGCCTGAGCATCTAAAACAACAACAATCCTAAACAGTAAAGTCAAGCTCGTGATGAGTATCGACCCAGTTGGACTTCATCTGTTTGTTACAGCTCGCTTACATCACACACTCACACCATCTGACACACCGAGCTTTCTGGATGCTGACAGAGGACGGCGGCGCAGAGACGGAGCAGCGGTTGCTTAGCAACTGACTCAAAGACAAAGACGAACAAACTCCGCCGGAGCAGAGACGAACAGACCAAACAGCTGAAGCATAATTAGGCATGAACTGGCTTTATCGTTAACACTAGAGGAGCGACACAGACGTTTGTCTGACCCAGCGCTCGCTGTCGAGTGGGGAAAGGCGGGCGATAGAGTTTTTGTATGTTTCTTTCTGTTAGCAAAATATCTCACAAACCACTGGGTGGATTCTAATGAAACACTCAGAAAGTAATAATTGGATATACTTCTACAACTGATTAACCTTTGAAGATAACTCAGTTCAAGATGGCTGCCCTATCCAACCAAAATTAAGAAACACAAAATCCGTTTTAATCCAGTCCAATTTGTGTAAAATGGATGAAAAATGTGTGTGGTAGTAGGTGAGAGTCATCCCCAATGCACATTTAGAGGCACTAACCATTACGCAAGATCTTTGTTTAAAATTAGCCATCACTTATTCAGAGTCAATTTAGTTCGTCTGTTAGCAAAATAACTTATGCACTATTAGACATATTTTAATCAAACTTTCAGGAAGTAATCACTTGATATAAATTTCAAAGTGATTAACTTTTGGAAGAGGACGCAAATTTAAAACGACTGCCATATCAACCTGACTGTGGAAAACACAAAAATATTCCAAGCTCAGTCAGTTTTACAGAAGTTGACCTCAAATCTGATGTGGTGGTTGCTGAGAGTCATTCCCAACACATACTGTGAGTGTGACATTTTGAAAAATGCAATTTTGCTTAAATTAATTTTTAAGGTTTGACCAAAACTTTGATTTCTCAACTTGATATAATCTCAGTTTAAAACTTTGTCCTGAAAGGCGGTGTTGACATGCACCCGCTTCGAATGTTATCAGCCATTAAATGGTCATTAGTGGTTATCATCCCCATGTGTAGCGGTCAGACTGCCCCTCCTGTACCTCTTAGTGGGTTTAAAAGTACGTTGTTAGCGATGATAATAGGCTACATTTTTAGCTTTGTTAGCGCTCATAATCGCTTCATGTGGTCAGGTTCAGAGTAAAAGTTCTGGCGGTTATGTTTAGGGTCTTGGTTAAGTTTATGCACAAGAGTAAGGGGGTTAAGTTTAGGGTTGGTCCTCAGGTTCAGGTGTAAGGTTAGGTTTAGGAAAAGGGTTACATATGCCAAACATGTTGGCCTCAGCATCCAGATGACAGTACCTTTATGTTCTGTCTCCAGCTCTGTGAAGTTTCAGCAGCAGATTGTCTGGAAACTCAGAATCAGACGTCTCTTCATGAAAAAGAAAAAAAAAACAGCAGTCAGCAGAGACCGAGGCTACAGATCAAATGTCTTCTTGTTTTCAAAGCATCAATGCATGACCTCTCTCTCTCTCTCTCTCTCTCTCTCTCTCTCTCTCTCTCTCTCTC